TTCTCCTCCTCCTCCTCTATTCTGCTTTGGTGAGGCCACATCTGGATATTGTGTCCAATTCTGGACCCGTTAGTTCAAGAAGGACAGGGAACTGCTTGAAAGAGTCCAGCGCAGAGCCACAAAGATGATGAAGGGAGTGGAACATCTCCCTTATGAGGAAAGGCTGAGGGAGCTGGGTCTCTTTAGTTTAGAGAAGAGGAGGCTGAGGGGCAACCTCATCGATGTTTACAAATATGTTAAGGGCGAGTGTCAGGAGGACAGAGCCAGGCTTTTTTCAGTGATGTCCAGTGGTAGGACAAGGAGCAATGGATGCAAACTGGAGCACAAGGGGTTCCACATAAACGTGAGGAAAAAATTCTTTACTGTGAGGGTGACAGAGCACTGGAACAAGCTGCCCAGAGAGGTTGTGGAGTCTCTTTCACTGGAGAAGTTCAAAACCCGTCTGCACACATTCCTGTGTGATGTGCTCTAGGTGATCCTGCTCTGGCAGGGGGGTTGGACTAGATGATCTTTCAAGGTCCCTTAAAACCCCTAAGATTCTGTGTGATTCTGTGAACTAAGACAAAAGAGATTATTTTTGGAGAATATCTGGCACCCATTTTTTTTTTTGTTGTTGTCATCACACAGTCTTTTTAGTGTGTATTTCAGGCATAAAAATGAGCAAATGGCAGCAGCCCATATTGTGGATGCATTTTCTTAGAAAGGGACTCCAGAATTACTTTGAGGGCTGCTTTTTCTATCCTCATCAAGGCCAATCACTGAATCAATACTATGACCTCTCTCTGTCTCTCTCTCTCTCTCCCCCTCCATTGCTCTTAATGTCCCTCTACTTCTCCTGGTCTCGGTTTTCATGTGGTTTACATATTTCATTTAATGCAACTATACTAAGTGGTTCCTGTGTAGTCAAGGAATTAGCAATGTTCTTGTACCCCGTTGACATTTTAACTATTGCTTTGCTAACTTCTACTTTAACTGCCATTCCTGTTGGTCCCATTTTTAAGATCTTAATTTTAGAAATGATAGCTCAAAGAAATGGTCTCAGTGTATTCTGTAATATTTACACATTTTGGGATTGCTTTAGCTTTTCAGTATAAGAAAACATAATTTATTAAAGCAGATAGCAGAGTTTGTATCAGGCACTTAATCCACAGTATTGGTTTGTAACATTTGTGTGCCTTAGAGTTTCACTGTTTGCAAATGTTTCAGTCTTTTTCACTTTTCAAAGTGAAATTATTGTGTCTCTTTTTGACATCTCAGTCTGAAATTTTAGCCATTGATTTAAATTCTATTTGGTAAAAATAGGACTATTAATTTTCCCTTGCCCTTGTCTTCTTTCTCATTTATTTTGGTTGAGGAGGATGACTGTACCATCTGGCACATGAACTTCAGTTTGGGCTATTCTCTAAATGTTTGTATTTGATGTGTGTCCAAATCTTGCAGATTTTCTTTGAGACCTTTGTTAGGCTATATGACCTACCATTACCACAGCTAAAATGTTCTTATTTTGCATCTTAATTTCAGTAATTCCTTTTTCTTGGCCAATGTAATGTTATCTAGTCATTTAGAATATTCTGCAAGATCATTTTTCTGGTTTATAAAATCAAACTGTATTAATGTATCTAATTCTCTTTCTTTCTATCCAAAACTTGTTTGTCTTTACCTTTAAACTTTTCATGGCTTAAGTGCATTTTAGTATCATCCTTCTTCCCAAGCTATCTATTCCTGCT